GTCCTTAGCTTATCATTCAGATGTCCATCACTTAGGAAAATTCACTCATTTGATCATTTTGATTTATTGCTAGTAAGCACTGCAGCAGATTTGAGGGCAAATTAAAATAATTGACTAATTGCAAGTTTAAAGCATTTAAACATTAACAAACAGAACGATTTGGGAAGTCCACACTAGTATATTTCTTTAAGCCATCTTGCAAATGAAGGATTTTTTTTCAACTGTAGAGATCCGATGTTTGAATTGACTATTAATTACCCAAGGAAAAACAAGGATTTAAAATATGCCTTTTCCATAAGGAGCATCTTCCTTTATTTCCCTGATGGTCAGAGGGAACTATCAGAAATTAATAGCTTTGCCAGGGTTCAGTTCTGAAAAAAAAGATTCATAGTTTTATGAATGAAAAAAGCCATTAAAAGTGACAGTTTGGTCTTGATTTTGCAGGAGCAGGAGTGCATTTCAGCATAAAAATATTACGAACATTTGCAATTGCTTTTCTGCCTTGATGGCTGCTTGTCTATGGCTTGGGCAAACTGTCACCATCTGACCTGCAGAGAACACAACCCGCCTTCCCCTACGGAGGGGTGCCCCACAGCCTGTGAGGTCTGTCTTCTCACTTCTTCCTCTCTGCAAATGTATTTTTTTTATAACATGATCATTTATTTATAATTTAGCTAGTAATGGTAGAACTTAGGCTTGAACTCAGTTAGGTCTAGTATATCCCAAAGACAATAGCCCTGCCACTGCCCCACTCTGCCTCCTGCAAATGTATTTTTTTTGTTATAATTAATCTACAATTACATGCAGAACATTATGTTTACTAGGCTCTCCCCTTCACCAAGTCCCCCCCCACACACCCCATTACAGTCACTGTCCGTCAGCTTAGTAAGATGCTGTAGTATCACTACTTGTCTTCTCTGTGTTGCACAGCCCTCCCTGTGCCCCCCCAACACACATTATACACGCTAATCATAATACCCCCTTTCTTTTTCCCACCCTTATCCCTCCCTTCCCTCCCATTCTCCCCAGTCCCTTTCCGTTTGGTAACTGTTAGTCCATTCTTGGGTTCTGTGATTCTGCTGCTGTTTTGTTCCTTCAGTTTTTCTTTGTTCTTATACTCCACATATGAGAGAAATCACTTGGTACTTGTCTTTCTCTGTCTGGCTTATTTCACTGAGCATAATACCCTCTAGCTCCATCCATGTTGTTGCAAATGGTAGGATTTGTTTTCTTCTTATGGCTGAATAGTATTCCATTGTGTATATGTACCACATCTTCTTTATCCCTTCATCTATTGATGGACACTTAGGTTGCTTCCATTTCTTGGCTATTGTAAATAGTGCTGTAATAAACATAGGGGTGCATCTGTCTTTTTCAAATTGGGCTGCTGCATTGATTTTCTTTTTGGCAAAATAATTCTCTTTAGAATCATTAAAATTTTCACTTAGGAGTATATTTAGAGTCTTGATAATCACTCTAAATTTTATGCTTAGCATTTTAACATTTACTCTAAGAGCAGTTCCTCATTCAAGTGGCACTTTGCAAGTTTTTCTATCACTTCCTGAATCTGCTGTTTGTTTCAGTCAAGTGTCAACTTTTTCCGGTTTGGAACTCTTGATACACCTAGAATTGAAAAGCCTGTGAAATATGCTTGATGTCACTGCAGGGCTGGTACCAAAGTCCATGTCTTGCAGAGAAATGAGTTTTCTTTTGTGTTTAGGCTTTCACAGAGAGGTACTGATTACACCTACCTTAATATTAATTCTCTTCAGTAAATTTCCTGGGCAATTTCACTACCATTGGGTTGTGTTTCTAACTGTTTAATGAATATATCTACCTAAATATACCACACGTGCCTAATCTAACTTGTCAAAAATGACTTCTTTTCTTCACCTCTGGAAATTGTTCTACCTTCCACGGTTCATGTCCCTGTGAGCAGATAACCCTTCTTCATTGGTCACTTGATCTTAAAAAGGTAATAAACTCTTACTCCTCTCCTTTGATATCCCCTCTATAGTTACCAGCTCTTTTTAATTCTACATGACTATACACGGAAAATAACACCAAAATCTATCTCCTTTCCATTCACTTTCTCTTTATTCAGGACTTTGTTGTCCATCTTGGGGAAATGGAAATATTACGATATTCAGTTAACTTGATTCTCTGTATATAGTCTACTTATCACTTTATTTGATGTGATGCGTTACAAAATATTTGTTTCTAAATGTGTATTTGAAGATAGGAGAAACCATTTAAAACCCTTCACAACTTCTCTTTTGCTTGAAGGATGAAGACTAAACCCATGAGTGAAGGTTTCATAACCCTCCGTGTGCCCCGCCCACTTCATTCGGGCGTATCTTCTGCACACCAGCCCTCCTGTCAGGGTTTGCCAACACTGTATTTAAGTCACCACGCAACGTGACTTTTCAGTACACAGAATTACACGTTTTTGTCCTCATATGATTCAGTCCTCTCCATTATTTTGCTTTGTCAAAACAGAGTAACCCTCTGCTTCTCTTGAAAGTCCTAATTTCCAGTGGCAAAATTCACTCTTCCCTTATACTTTTTATCTGAACTCTGCGCCCCGTTATATTTCACTGTAGTTGGCTATTTCGATCCTTCCTTGGACCGTAAATCCTTCAAACAGTAATAACTACTCTCAGCACTTACTGAGTGCCCCCCTCTTTTTCAAAGTCCCTGTATAGTACCCTGTTTACTGTTCCCAAAGTCCTGGAGGAGTAGGACAGTTATTGTCCCTAGTACATAAATAAGAGCTTCCCCATCTCTCAGTCTCAGGGGCTATACAATTTTGATGACTAGGTGGAACAAATGACATTTGAGTGATGAATGGCATTATAGAATAATAGAAGAGAATAACAGAATAATAATGATAATAATAACAGGATGATAAAAGAGAATCCCAAAAAACACTAGATGTTAGATGTACATTCTAAGAAAAAAAGCAATAATCAGGGTCATGAACCTACTTAAGATTATAGAAAGAAGAGTAGTGAGATTGACATAAGCAGTTTGGTTTGCATGCCTAATAAGCATTTGAAACTTAGTATACACAAAGTGAAAACTTGTGCTTTTTTCCCAAAGCCTGCATATAAGACCGCCAGTTAGAAGCATTAAACACATCTTCTAAAACAGAATCAAATAAGAAAGATCATTCACATGCTTTCTTGAAAACAACCCTTAAGATTTCTTATTACTGGTGAGTCATGCCCAAATTGTTTTTCCCCATCAGGACTGGTTAGTCTCCCAAATGCTAGGAAGAACAAGTTGCAATAGTAAAAACTTTAATCCTCACAACACTGCCATGAGAAAGGTGAATTTCAGGTGTCACTTCTACTGAATCAAGTTATTACAGTGCCTTAGGGAGTTTCAAATAACCATCGATGACATGTGTTTCATTATTTACCAAGAGTAGCTATTCCTATTCTCGCTGTGTTCCTTATGGTCTTTTGCTGCTTAATTTTCAGACTGGAGAGAGGAAGCTCACACACATAAGTTTGGGAAGAGTTAGCCATTGTTTTCTAGTATTAATTATCATCCATCCTACTCATATCTATACTCATATTCTATTCCTTCTTTTCTGTTGAAATGTACAATCCTTGGTGCTGTGGAAGACCAAACCCCGTAATTATACACAGGAACCTTCTAGTTACATTTTCAGTCTCCTAGATCATTCCCATTGGCATACAGGTGTTCTACCAATATATGCCATATTTTCAGAACATACCTCCTACACGCCTTGGCTTAGTTTTACAGCAAAACTGGAAATAAACGGCCTGCGTAGCTGTCTCTTCCTCACCTCTCGTCCTGTGTCAGCCTCTCCACGTGAAATTGGTCCCCGTGTTGCTGTGACATAGCTGTTGGCAAACCATCAAAGACCTCCATGCTGCAAGTCCAGTAGGTCCTCGTCATCCTCCTTAAACTCTCAACCGGTACGGAGATGACCACTTGTTCAACTTCTTAAACACAGTTTTCTCTTGGTCTCCAATAGTTAACTCTTCACGTTATTCTTCCCGGCTCCCTGCCTGCTTTCTCAGATTTCTGTTCTGGCTCCTCCACGTCTGCCAGTCGTCGCAGTGTTGGAGCGTTACTGTTCCCTTGTGCCTTTCCCTCCCAAGGACGCTGCCTTCAGCGCTGCAGAACGCAGCACCCTCAGTGTGGCAGCACCGCCACAGGACTAACCTTTCCCCCTCCATCCTGCAGCACCTGCTCATCTAACGGACTACTTGGCATTTTAGTCTGAATGCCTAGCAGTCACTTCAAATTTAACCTACACAAAGTGAGAGCTTGTGGTTTTTACTCAATACCTGCTCTTCTAGTCTTCCCCATCTGCAGAGACTGCACCATTTACATCTCTGTTGCTCAAGCACATCTTTATCATGAATCACCCAGAGTCCTACCTTTCACTGACACCTGACATCTAATTCTAAGGAAATCCTGGCAATTTTTCACAAATCACATCCAAAGTTTGCCTTGCGACCTCCACCTCCAATACCAGCACCCTTCATCCAAGTCACTATCACATCTCACGGACACTAAGGATGGCTAACTTTTCCTCTAGCTTATCATCTGCCCAAGTAAGTAATTATGTGCTTAGCAATACAATTTTGTGTATTAATAACATCTAGTTATATTTTTTATTCTTCACTTTCCTATTCTTGCTACGTTTTTTATGGGAGTATAGTTGCTGTACAATATTATGTTGGCTTCAGGGGTACAACATAGAGATTTCATAATTGTACATGATGAAAATCCCACCATAAGTGGGTACCATTTGTCACCAACCAAAGATATACTATATTACTGACTATATCCCCTATACAGCACTTTTCACCCTCATGACACGTTTATTTCATAACTGGAAGTTTGTACCTCTTTATCCCCTTCCCCTATTTTGTCTGTCTCCCAAGCCCCCTCCCCTATATTCTTTGTATTTATGAATCTATTTCTGTTTTGTTTGTTTGTTTGTTTTATTTTCTTAGATTCCACATATAAAAGAGGCAAGGATATACAATGGGAAAAAGTCAGTCTCTTAATAAATGGTGTTGGGACCTCAACAATGACCTGAAACCATAAAACTCCTAATAGAAAATACTGGCAATTTTGTTCTATGTATGTCTCCCCAAGCAAGGGAAACAAAGCAAAAATAAACAAATGGAACTGTATCAAACTGAAAAGCTTCTGCACAGCAAAGGAAACCATCAATGAAACGAAAAGGCAATCTCCTAAATGGGAGAACACATTTGCAAATGATGTACCTGATCAGGGGTTAATATCTAGAACATATAAAGAACTCAGACAACTCAACACCAGGAAAACAAATAATCCAATTAAAATATGAGCAGAGGACCTGAACATTTTCCAAAGAAGACATGCAGATGGCCAACAGGCAAATGAAAGATGCTCAACATCCAGTTATATTTAATCTCATTATATGTCCATAGTAACAATTAGTGCTTGCAATAACCCTCTTTGGTAGGCACTATTATAATCTTAATCTGTCAGAGGAGAAAAATTAGGTACATAGAATTTAAATACCTTATGCAAGTTCACACAGCCATTAAATATAGAGCCTAAATATCTTACCCACTGTGTAATGTGATTAAGATTCTTTTTTAATCAAGCTCTATTACTGAAATATAATTGACACATGACATGTAAGTTTAAGGTATACTATATGATGTTTTAAGACATATCGTTAAACTCACTGTTTTAAAGAAACAGCTTTTTGCTATTGGTGTAATAGAATTGGTTAGCATATTATTGTTGAATAGCCAATTTTTAATAGATTTTAGTTTTTACAGCAGTTTTAGGTTCACAGCAATACTGAGTAGAAAGTAGAGGTTTCCCACACACACCCTGCTACCACACGTACAATTTCCCCCATTATCAGCATCTCCCACCAGAGTGGGGCATTTTTTATAATGGATGAATCTGCTTGGACACAATGTAATCACCCAAAGTCCATCATTTACAGTAAGGTTAATTTTGGTGTGCATTCTTATGGTTTGGACAAATGTATAATGATAGTTACAGTCAAATATTAGTTAGCGCCTTATACTAATTAGTTCCCTATAGTATCATACAGAGAAGTTTCACGTCCTAAAAATTCTGTGTGCTCTGCCTATCTATCCCTCCTGCCCACCTAAATCCCAGGCAAGGACTATGTTTTATAAAAGAGAAAATCAGAACTATATGTCACATAAAATAAATCCACAAATTCATTACATCAGTCAGGGTAACTTACTCTGGATTATCATCAATGTGGAATCGGAATCCGTACCAACCTTACGTAGGCCTCTACCAGCAAGCAATACTCCTTCACAGTTCTGAGTTCTGCTCATGAATCCTCCTTTTTACTACCAAATATTAAGCTCTGCTTTGATGTTATCCCCAAGGATAACCTTAACTAGCATCTTCAGTATCATTTGAGGGTTATTTCTTAACATATTTTTAAATCTTAAGAAATGGATTATTTTCTTCACAGATTTTATGCCGCATCTCAGCACATCAGCATATTTGATGATGGCTCTCTGGTTAAGGCTGTAAACCATGTACAGGGACAGTGTCTTCAGCACCGCTAACGCCAGCCTCAAAAGTTTTATCTCCTAAGTATTGCCCACAGTTTAAATCGAAGTAACAAATGCACAATTAACCTGAGCAGAGGGGAAATGCCCACTCAGCACTTCGGAAAATGATCTGGGTGAGTTATGAGTCATCTCATTTTGCAAAGTAGCAATAAAAGTGAGTCTTTCATTTTGCAAAGGTGCCACTGGCATTTACAGCAGATGATTCGAATAAAGGAGAAAAATAACTTCTGCGTTTTATCAGAACAGCAGCATTTTATCCTGGTCATGCATTTTTGCCTCTTCAGTTTTCATCCATCAAAGGAAAATTCTCCACAAGTTGTTGCCCAGAGTCGCGTTATTCCCCAGTGACTCCCACGACTGTGACTTACCTTATGGAAGTTTCTGAAATACGCTGCCTTTTCATCTGGAAATTTTTCTAGCCTTCTGGGTCCTTTACTAGAAGCCTTCTTGAAAACCAGCCAGCATCGTCTGAAAATCTGAAAGCAATGAAAAGAAGCCTATTATCTACTTTTTACACGAGTTATGTACCATCAGGAACTTACTCAATTAATCCATTGGAAATAAACTTTATTAAATGCACTTACAGAGAGATTGTTTTTAAGTCAGAAACCATGCTATGTGTTAGAATTACAGCAATTTTTAAAAACTATTTAATGTAAACATGAATTTTTTAAGAAAATATTTCAAGTTATGAGATTCTCAATGTGCTGGCTTCAACTGTCTTTAATTAAATTATCTCAATGTCAATACAATATAAAATATTTATTCTCACCATCCTAGTGACAATTTTCTGTTTTCCATGCTAATGCAGTTACTTTTTACTAAGATTAAACACTTTCATAAAGCTCAAAATTCTATGTTTGAAGAAACATCACATTTAAAAATCAATCTTGTAGGACTAAATTTTTTAAAAAGCATATTTATACATATTAATTTAGAAAGCAGACAATGTTTTTATAATAGACACATCTGTCTCTTCTTTTATATCTTTATGGTAACCAGCATTCATTAAATGCTTATTACATGCAATACATTTTAAAATGTACATACCCACTTAATCCTCACACCCACCATATGAAGTACATTATTTCCATTTTAAGATAAAGACAGTGACAGTGTCGGGATTTGAACACACTTCCACCTGAACACACATCTCTTTAGCTTTGGTAAGAAAAGCAGAGCCACTCTTTCCACACACACAAACCATCATCTCTAGACTTTGCCCATATCTTACAACAGTAACTAATGTCAGACCTTGAGATTGATTGTCACCTGGTGCCCATCCTTCTCCACAGGTGTGTTGAAGGCAAAGAAAGAAAATGAGCCTCCTTTCAGTGGTTGAAGAGGTCTAAAAATACTAATTGGCCACAACTTTTATATTTCAATACTTAGCATTTTTTTGCTGGAGTATGCATTCTCTGTAGCCATAAGGAAATTCATAGAAGGAAATTGCAGAAACTTAGATTTCTCTTCTATTTCTTTATTTAAACTGCAGAGTTGCTATCCTATGCTCTTTTTGACTAACACAGGCCAGATGATTCCATTCTTTCGTAGGGTGCCTTGTCTATCATTCCTGAGAAGACAGTGTTTCCCATATTAAAAGGCACTGGCGGATCACATAAAGGCCTCTGGTGCTAAAAGCAGAATAAACAGAATAATAAGGCAAATGCACACTTTGCTTTTCTCTTGCTACCTGTCCTAGCTCCTTGCCAGTAGCTTCAAAAAGCCCCTGAGGGACAACCCTGAGCTTCTGGCCCACATCCACGGGTCTCTCCCTCTCTTCCTAGCCTGACACGCATGCCTCCTCTGTCCATGGTTCCTGACCATGTGCCCAGAAATTCAGAATTAAATTAATCCTTCATGGCCCCCAGTATTCTTTCTGCACACTTGTGTTGGGCACACTGTGTTTAAGTTATTTATTTGTTGGCTCCTTGCTGATCTCCACCCCCAAGGTAAAATAATACTTAAATGATACAGTGCAAATAGTGATTATAATATGACATCAGTACATGGTGTGTTTAATTCAATTCTACATGGGTTTATTTAATGTAAAATTATGCTTTGTGAACTTCACAAAAAGTGCTTATATGTTAAGTAAATTTAAGTAATAAATTTAGAAAACACAATCCTACAAGAAAAAATAGTTTGGTATTGTGGGAAATTAATAAGGCTTTTGTTGGCAAACTTGGGAACTTCCCAGATGAAATCTGAAACTGAGCCCCATACACAGAGGGTAGGGAGAGACCAGGAAAGAGGCAGGCCATTCCAGATGGGTAGATGGCAGGTTAACAAGCACAGGGACTTACAAAGCAGCCTTGTTATGGTGGTAGCAAAATGGGCAGATCTTCACACCCTCCCACCAGAACCTTGAATTTATAGAGAGGGCTTAACTGGGTCCATTCATCTATTCGGTCTCAACACCTGACAGTCTCAGCACCCCTTATTCTCTCAAGGCTGTGTCCTTGGAAACAGCTCCTGCTGTCGAACGGTGGGCAGGGATTACATTCTGGCTGCCCAGAGCCAGCTGGTGGGTCAGCCTGTGGTCACATCCTCTCAGTCAACACTCTGGAATCAGAGAGACCTGGGTTTACCTCGTGGCTCTGGCCCTTAACTAGCTGTGCAACCTTAGACACAGTATTGAAAGTGTCATGTAGCAAAGAAGGTACCTCATGTGACAGGGTGGAGTCAACAAGATGGGCTCATTTCTAGTGACCAGAAGGTTCTAACAAGGGTCAGCTCATTTCTCAAGCCCCTTTTACTTACAGAGTAGGTGCAACATGCCGCATATGACAGTCATATGTAGGCACACTTCTTTACTAAGGTCACGTAATTCTAACAAAATTCAGATCCAAATATTCTGCATTCAAAGCAATTAGTGTGCTGTATAAGAACTTTTTTAAATAAATAGAAATGTATTAATGATCTCCATATAGGGACTATAGACCTAGTAAGACTGGACTTGGAATCCCAGCTCAGACCCCCAAGTGTAAATCGGGGCAAGGCTTGTGTCCTTCTCTTCACTTGGGGAAAACCCACTGCCTATATCACAGATCATGTGGTCATGAAAATAAAAATAAATGAAACATACAAAGTTCATGTCACGGTGCCTTTCAGAGGAATCGCTAACAGAGGCTAGTCCAATACAAAACAGATATAACACCTTTTAGGGGAAGACTGTTCAGCACATCTGCAGTCATAATGGGTATTTACGTAAAATGTAAAAATCACTGTTTGTACCAATATATCTTTAAAGGTTTTGGATAATACCAGAAATGAGGGGAGTTACGTTATATATGATATCAGTAGACAAAACTACCTAAATACTCTGTTGAATACAAGTGAGTTCCTGCTAACTTCAGAATGGTGTGGATATTATTAATACAGCTATTTATATTTATCAATATGCAGCTAAAAGAAAAAGAAAAAGATTATATCAAATTTACTCATTTCCTAAAATTACTCTTTCCACCACATAGCATGAGTTAATTTTTGGATAGGATAAATCACTTCACTCAGTCATTTTATAAATCCCACAACCTTATATTAGGGTTGAGAGTATTTTATTATAGTATCTGAGAACACAGTTTTTAGTCAGAACACTTGCTATTTAGTCCAGGTATTGCTATTTTAAATGTCTTGTCCTGCAAGAGTTATTTTAACTTCTTTAAGAGCTAGTTTCTTCATCTATAAGTCAAGGTCAGTATATCTCTTAAAGTTGCACAGGTGTTTAAAATGTAGTCCACACATTCTTACTTGAAATTCTTGGGTTTGGGACTCTGCCATGGACTATACTGTGTCCCCCCCTAAACTCATAGGTTAGAGATGAAGCATTTGGGAGGTAATTAGGATTAGGTCACGAGGGTGTGGCCCTCAGGCTGGGATTGGTGTCCTTCTAAATAGAGGCTTCAGAGAACTGACTCACTCTCTGCCCATTTTAACAACAAAGAGGTCATGCAGTTACCCAGTGAGACAGTGGCCTTCTGCAAGCCAGGGAAAGGGCTCTCCCCAGAATCTGATCATATTGACACCTTAATCTTGGACTTCTAATCTCCAAACCATAAGAAAACAAATGGTTGTTGTTCAGGCCACTCAGTCTATGGTATTTTGTTATGGCAGCTAAGACAAATACTTTTAGATTTTATTTTCATAAGCAGAGATAGTGGTGGTTCTTAGAAGCAATTGTCACAGGAGTAATATTGTGGAAGTGAAGAACAGTTACATGAATATGAATAGAAATGTGAGAGATAAGAAGCAGATAAATAAAAATATCATTTGCAAAGTGGGATATATATAGATTATCAGTATTTATCTCCTGGCTATTTACCAATGGATTTAGAATCCTAGCTGGGGTAGGAAGACTCTGTGACCCAAATCCCTGGTAATATGGTTTTTGTTTTTTCCGACAGAGGAAGGCCTCTCCTTGCACCTTTTGCACTTTTTTGCTCCTAGCTTAGGAACCATGGTGATGTCCAGTGAAGCCCTGTAATATTCATGGAAATAGACACACACACTCCCTGAGTGCAGTGCCCGTTCCCTGTGACTATAGTTGTTCTCTATTAAAAAGTGAGTTGAACAGAAGTTAGAAAGCGTAAGTATTTCCATGTAGGCCCTCAATATTGTGATAGGTAAACCTGATAATGGATAATAAGGAAAAATAGATTCGGTATTTTCTGTAGTATCTTATCTCCTTTTGCTACTGCATTTACAGAGGTAACCACACAGAGACAAAACTGATTTTTAAGACTTGATGTAATAGACTGTTTACCAAGCCAAGCCTCTTAAGTTATTATTTTATTTTGGAGTAATTTTAGATGTATAAAACAGTTGCAAAAATAGTGCAGGCAGTTCCCAAATAGACTTTACCTAGCTTCCCCTATTATTAACATCCTGAATAACCATGGTACATTTTTCAAAACTATGAATTTAACACTGCCAAAATGCTGTTAACTAAACTACAGATTCTACTCGAAAATCGCCAGCTTTTTTGCCCAATGCCCTGCTCTGTTTGGGATCCAATCCAGGACCCTACGGTGAATTTACTTGTCCTATCTGCCTAGTGTCCTCTGATCTTTGGCAGCTTCTCAGTCTTGTTTTTTTTGCATTCCATGACCTTAACAGATTAAAAGACTACTGGTCAGGTATTTTGCATAAATTTCCTCAACTTCTGTCTGTCTTAGGTCATTTTTGATATTTCAAAAGTCAAATGAAAAAAAAAATCTCACCATAAAGTGATTAAAACAAATAATTTATTGGGAAAAATAATAGGAATTCTTCCTAGTTTTAAACTAGTAATATTTTGATCAGATGTCTAGTTGAGTTTTTAAACTTAATAAAATAGTCATTTAATACATGCTTATAATGCAAAGCTTGTGTGGGGTTTTTCACAGTTTTCAAAGATAATTTGCTTTGTGATAGAATTAGATAATAAAAAGGGCTGTGGCACAGAGAATTTGGAAGTGCCATTCAGTGCCCACGT